GCCTGGCTCTGCCTCCCGAGTGCTGGGATTAAAGGCGTGTGCCACCAACGTCCGGCCTAACATTTACTTTTTATGTCTTCCTCATCCTCATCCTTTTATACACTCTTTGGAATCTATCTTAACATACTCATTATGATTCCTCATGCTCTCTAAATACTACACATATCTCTATGTCAACAACTGGCTTGCCACATAAATAATACAAAAGATCCTTATCCTGCCAGTCCTCTTAATGGTTAACCCCAAAAGTCGGGTCTTACACCAGTGAAGGGATGACCTTGCCAGTGAGAACAAGAGCAAGAAGACAAATAGCAAAGATGAAAGAATTTCCTTCTTCCATGTCCTTTATACAGGCTGCCAATAGAAGGTACAGCTAAGATTTAAGATGAATTCTCACATCTCAAATCATCTGGGTTTAGGTGGGGTTTCCTAATTCCAGTGATTCAATCAAGAAAGTTCCCTAACAAGACATATCATAGCATCTTGGGTTTTGTTCATTAAACATCTTTTTTTTTTCCTTACCAATGTTTTTTGTTTGTTTGTTTGTTTTCCTACATTTTCTAGACAGGGTTTCTCTGTCTAGCTTTGGATCCTGTCTTGGAATGTACTCTGTAGTCCAGGCTAGCTTGAAACTCTCAGAGATATGCTGGCATCTGGCTCCTGAGTGTTAAGAACAAAGTCCTGTGCTACCAACATCCCCTCCCTGGTTTCCACATGTGGTTTTTTTTTTTTTTTTTTTTTGAAAGCAAGAAGAAAAGAACAGAGAGGGGAGTAGGTAGAAAAAGGGATGAATTTCAAGAAATTGCAGTTGCGGTTGAATTTGATAAACATAAGTTGAAGTAAATTCTTAAGGAATTATTAGGATTTTTTTAATGTTTATATTTGCTAAAATCAGAGATTGATATCATTAACTGTTAAATTGGAAAAGGTAAACCGAAATTATGAGCACATCACAAAATATTAGAAACAGTGAAATATTGAAGTAAAATTGCTCTTTATATTTTTTTAAGGCAAGTTCTCACTGTATATTCCCGGAAGGGTTTGAAGTAAAACTCCTGCTGCTTCAACAGCCCAATTGCTAGGACTCTTGATTTAAAGGTGTGACCTATCAAACCCAGATAAGATGTGTGACTCAGCAAAACTTGTGGAGGATTATTTTGTGAGGATTGGCCATAGATTTAAGTCAATCTTCCACCCAATTAGATTACTCTATTTCCAGTGGGTGTGGTCTCTAGAGAGTATATAAGGACACTCCAGGGTCCAGCCAGGTTCATTCTCCTGTAGACCAGACAGAGTGTGTTTCCAAACCTTCTGGCTCCCAGACTGCTAGCTCCTTCTAGCCCACACATTGAGGGTCACACCACAGAGCTCAGCTAATATTATTGTGTGCTCACCAGACACTGCTGAGACCAGAGATTATTCCGTGGGAAAATGGAGTCAGACATCTCACAAGCCTTCCAGGAAGAACTCACCTGCTTCATCTGCCTGAGCTGCCTGACAGAGCCAGTCACCATAAGCTGTGGCCACAGCTTCTGTCGAGCCTGCCTCCAGCTTTCCTGGGAGGACA